TTCTCTTCTCTGTTGTATGATCAATTACAGGACTCTTTCTGTACATACGTCCAATCAAATGAACGACACTTTCTTATACCGGCGTTCCATTTTTCTTTTATATTCGGCTCTTGTTCATCCCCCTTTTAATTCAATCGTGGAAACTTCGCCCCGATCGTTTCATTTTGCATGAAAATCGAATACTTGTTTACAATAACATTGGCCCGAGCTTCTGTTCTCTCCGATCCATGAGAGAAGTTCCTTTGTGCCGATTTAATTAAGTCGTTAACTCGTGGAATCTGATTACGAGATTCGCCAGGTTTTCGTCGTGCGTGATTTCACCCTCTCGTTCATTTTTCTCTGGTACTCTCGATGAACAGACACATATTTAATGGGAAAAGTAGAAAAAAAAAGGAAGGAAGAATGGAAATAAGGGAGAAAGAAAAGAAGGAAGTAACATATCTACCTTCTCTTTTGTGCTCGTCGTACTCGTCGTAAACGAGATTGGAATTTCTTTGATCCCTGTTCAGTGAATCTGGATCTTCGAGAATGTTGTGCATTTACAAAGTTCCTCTCGTTGTTGAATGCCGCTCGCCGATATCAATAGTGTTTTAAAAGTGTAGGTTCACAGTCTGTGTTCCATTTTAATATCGTTCCTTCATTGAAGTTTCCCATTTTAATATCGAATCGTTTGCCGTGTATGCATCGAGTCGCGTGAAGTTGTAAATCATTGACCCGTGAATTCTTGACGCGATCGATAACGTTGGAGAAATTACGTAAAAATGGTCAGGTTCTTCCTGTTTGTTTCCTTTTCGGTTTAATATGAATTTGTTGTAATTTTAGAGGTTTGATATTTTCGATATTAAAATGGGAAACTTCGATGGAACGATGTTAAAATTTAATTTCAACATTAATGTGACATGATAATAATGTAATACGATGTAATATAGTTCGATTAATTCATTTTAATTTCAATAACCTTCGATGTTTAATCCATTAATGGAACCTTCAATTTTGGGAATAGTTTCTGATCAAATAGTTAAGTCTAACAAATGGCGTTTGTAATACTTACAAGTTTATTAAACATGATCCTGTTACAGGGAAGAGATTTAAATATTTATCGTAAATTTCTATTCTTCCTCTTTTTATTTGCAATCGAATTTCCCTGCTTCCATTTTACTGAAAATACGATGAAACTTGCAACTATTCTCACAAATTCATCATTAATTTGAGCATCATCTCTAAACGAACTTAAATATTTTTATTCCATTTTAATTATCGTTTATGAAAGAAATTTTTCTCATTTCATTTTCAATCCTTATTTTCCTATTTCCATTTAATTTTCACCACAAATGTCACAAATGATATGTGCGATCATTCTCGCAAGTCCGTCATTCAAGATTCTAAAAAATAAATGTAACCAACACCTCGAAATTAAAATATCTTTAACATTTAATATCTAGCGTCAGAAATATACATATTTCAACTAAATTAATTTATTGTTCCAAAAAAAAAAAGAAAAAAAAATCCTTTCTTATCCTTCCTACCCTCTTTCATTTCACTTATGGAAATTTTTCTATTTCTATTTAAATCTATAAAATCAAAAACACAACAATGCTAACAATCATTCTCACAGATCCACCAAGTCAGATTCTATGAAATAAATGTAATTACCACACTCAAATATATTCAATATCAAAAATATTTGCATATGGGCTTAATTAATTCGATCTTCCTTTTATCCTCCGTCTTCATGCACGTAGTTCAATTGAAATTCTATAAAAAAAAAACTTCATGAATTATTTTCCTGCGAGACTCTTCTTCCACTTATGAGGACATCCTTGACAAAATCCTCCGTGAATTTATCTAACGACATCCTTGACAAAACAGTCCTACATATATTTATATAACGATATCCTCGACAAAACAGTCCTCCGTGTATTCGTGTAACAACGTCCTTGACAAAACAGCCCCCCAGGATTTTGCCACGACAATTAATCGATACACTTACTTGTTGGAGAACGATCGATGAAACGGCCATTACGTTAACCCCTGGCGTGGAAACACGGCTCGAGGAAAGAGTTTCCAAAGCTTGTCCATTGTACAAGAACGATCCCGAGTTTCTCGCTGCGTTCGAAGTATGGACGATGTGTCAGTTGTAACGTCATAGTTTCTTTTAACTGTCGCGTGTTTCTTGTGAAAAGTGCTTGCTATCGATAATTGCGCCGCGGCGACAGTTTGCTTGGATTTCGAAATTTGTGGACAAGAGGGTTGAGTTAAGGGTGCTCTTGAAATCGCGATACAATCAGTCGAATAGCAAAAAACGCGAAATTTTATTAGTAAAAATATTTTTTTGCTAATAATATTATTTTTCTTTTTTTGCTAATTGTAATGTTTTTCTTTGAGATTTGATTTTCGAGAAAATTGGATTTAAAAATTTGTCAAGTTTGAACGTTGCTAACTTTGGAGTAAATAGGAGCGAATAATGAACAGGAGGTTATTCCACGTGCAAAGGGAAGCGAAGAGCGTGGAATAAAATTGTTCTATTTTAAGGGAAGTGTCTAAATTGAAATGTTATTCGTTCTAATTATTCTGTTTATCAAATATTTATAGTTAAAAAAGGAGTAAGGGTACAGTTATAATTATTGCAAACCATGGAGAATTCGGGCAATTTACATATTTTTTGAGCCGTCAAATCACAAAACAAAAATTTGTCTGTTGCACGAAATGCAAAAATTGAAGAAGCTTTAATTTTACATTAAATTAAATTCGTATTAAAAATTCGTTAAATTCGTTAAATTTGTAAGATTTCGAACGAAGACGTTAGGAAGGAGGAGTGTAAAGTAAGCTGATCGAAAGTTGGAAACCAATGTCAACCATTTCCCGGACAATTTCAGGAAATAGCCGGCGCAAATTTCTCGAGAGACGATTGCAACCCCCGGTTTTCCCACTCGTAAGCTTTTATGTTTATGACTCGTTCGTTGATCGGTCGACAGGTAATTCGGATGATCATTTTCTGAAAGCATCCCTTGCTCGCATTATCGGATATCAGGCTCCGATTTTCAATCGCTTTTCGCAAAGCTGCTTTTCATCTCTTTTATTTTATTTTAATATTGCCTCTCTCTCTCTCTCTCTCTCTCTCCGTCTATTGTTCGTTCGATCGATTAGATTTCATAAATGAAATTACGCGTACGCGACAGTAGTAATATTAAAATCACTCAGTAATATTAAATCGCTTGCACTGATTTTTTTTTTTTAATAAAAAAAAGGTGAAATTCACGTGAAATTGGATTAAAAAGTTCGTGTAAGATTGTCGAATTAAATATGAAATATGTAATATAATAATATATATAACAATAATAACAATAAATAATATAGTAATAAAAAATGTTAATATATACGTATAAATATAATGCATTCCAATAAATTGCACGTGCGATTTAGAAATTTTATTATCTACCAAAACGCGATACCAAACTCTTTGTTAAAATAAAATTTGTATTAAAAGTAAAAATGTCCACTCTGGGTTCAACCGATCTTTAATAAAATGAATTTTTTGTCGAAATAAAATGTTGACTTTGAAACAACGTTAAACTATTAGACATTTCAATTTGAATGAAACTATGAAAATTTGACGATGGCAAACAAATGCTAACAATTGTGAAATCTCTGTTCTTTTTTTTTTTTTTTT